TGGGTCCCAGCCTGGCCTGTGAGCTTAGCCCGTGGGGAGCAGGCAGTTGCACCCGACACCACACACACCACACGGCAGGGCACCAGGCATACCAGGGAACGGAGATTGCGACTGTCTTGCCTTTTCTCTCCAGCCCCGGACATCGACCCTGCCTGGTACGCGGGCCGCAGAATCAGGCCTGTGGGCCGCTTCGGACGCAGGAGGGTGGCCCTGAGGAGCGCCCCGGAGCTGAGCCTGTGGCACCAGCGGTTGGCTTCCCCCTGGAAGGAGGCGCTGAGCCCTCCCAGGATGGGTGACAACCCGGCGCAGGAGGAGTGACCCCGCAGCCTCTCCCCAACCCCAGCCCCCTCCGCCAGGGACGACTTTCCCTTCAGTCCTAATAAAAGCAGCCGCCTCATCTACCCGTGTCTGTGTGGTGACAAACCTGGAGGACACTCAGAGCCCAGCAGGGAATAGAGGAGCTGGAACCTTCTTGGTTACCTGCAGGCGCAGGGGCCTCTACTCAAGCCGCCCAAAGGTGGCTCAGGCTGCAATCTGCTCCATCCCAGAGGTGGGCAGCACAGCCCTTTCAGCCCCCCGCCCCTCTCTCAGCCCCACCCCTGTCTCAGCCCTGCCCCTCCCTCAGGCCCTGCCCCTCCCTCAGACCCCGCCCTTCTCTCAGTCCCACCCCTGTCTCAGCCCTGCCCCTCCCTCAGGCCCTGCCCCTCTCAGCTCTGCCCCTCCCCTCTCAGGCCCCACCCCTCTCTCAGGCCCCTCCCCTCTAAGCCCCGCCTCTCTCTTGCCCCGCCCTCTCGCAGGTCCTCCTTTGTCCTCTTTACCTCCCTTGTTGGTTGGTACTCTGGAGGAGAAAAAGTGTTGTGAGTTGCTTGTTTCCAGTCAGCAGCAGGGAGACCGAACCTAGATCGCTTCCTGCCCACACTGTGTCCCTTTGCTAGTTGTTTCAGATCGGGTGGTGTCCCTGTCCTGCCTCAGATGTAACTTGTTTTCGGAGAAGGGAGACTCAGCCCCTTAACCTTCCTGAGCCCCAATTTCCACATCTGAATACCCCAAGACAGTAGTACCCACCTCGTTTCTGAGCTCGGTGGGCACAGGTGCTGCTGCTGGCATGGATGGGTGCTCAGTGAGTGTGAACCTCACACCCCTAGGCCCTGCTTTCAATCCAGGGCTGGGGAGCAGGTTTAACCACTTATTTCCAGCAGGAAGCACTGTGCACCCTGCTGCCAGGACCTCCAGAGCCCACCCTGACCACAGGACTCATGCTCACCTAAGCTCAGTAGGACTCAGGGTCCAGGACCCAGAGCAGGACCTCAGACCCGGCTGGCCCAGCTCAACTTGCAAAAGGCAGGTCCACAGCTCACCAGCCAGCGAGAGGAGGCAGAGCTGGCCAGACCACCCAGATGGGGCTGTGCCAGGGGCAGCAGCTGGGGGGAGGGGGGGGAGGCTCTTCTTGTCAGGTGGAGCAGTGACAGGGTCACTGGTGGTGACCTGCCCCCAAGAGGGCCTGAGGGAAGGACCTTACCAAGGTGAATAGGATGTGGCTCAACCTGGCTCTGCCTCTGACCCGCCAGCAGGGTCAGCACTCAGCACCTCTGGGTACAGGGAAGCCAGAGGGCTGGGCATCAGACAATTGCAGGCTGTGGCCTTCTGTGATGGGCTGACCTATGTCTCCAGACTCCAAATGTGAAAGTCCTAACCCCAGGACCTTACCTGGAAACAGTTATTTATTGCATTAAATGGTTAAGATGAGGTCATAACTGGAATAAGGGGATTCCCTGGGAAAGGGGGAGTCGGGGCACAGACAGGATATGGAGGCAGACACGGTGACGTCCCAACGCCAAGAAGCACTGAGATTGCAGGAAACCACCAGAAGCTGGAGAGGCCTGGGGCAGCTTCTCTCGGCCCCAGGGGAACCAGCCCTGCCCTCACCTCACCCCAGGCCTTCAGGCTCCAGACTGAGGGACATTTCTGTTGTTTGATACTTCGTTAGGGCAGCCCTGAAGCTCAACATCTCTGTCCCTAGAGAGATGAAGAGGCAGACAATTTCATGTTTCCTGTGTCTCCTCATCCTGAAAGTTTTCAAACATATGAGAACGTTTGAGAGTGATTACAGTGACTCTCACATACCCGCCCCGCAGCTCCCACAGTAATTACTGTGTTCACTTTCACCCCTTCTCTCTGCGCTGGGAAAGGAAGCTGCGGGCGTCACGACATTCCTCCTATGTACGTAGCTCAGCATGTTTCTCCTCCAGATAAGAACCATCTCCGACGTAATCACAAGATGACTAGCATGCCTGCAATTTTAATAGTTCTGTAATGTCATCTAGTGTGTAGCCAAATATCCCTAAGGTTGCCAGGGAGTCTTCGTCATCTTTTCTTGTAGGCTCCAGTCTACAGGCCACAGCTGCATTTGTTATTTCTCTGTAGTGCCTGCTCTTTTTATTGGTTGTGACCGTTGGCTTTCCACCTTGTAGAATGATCCACACAGGCGATGGTTCCCCGTGGTGTTGTTATCCTGCTCTTCTGTCCTGTGTTCCCGTCCTGAGAGCTGGACTGGGTCACTCCCTGTGGGCACGGTGCTCCCCATGCTTCCTGAGGCATCTCTTCTAAGCAACAAATGCCTGCCCGCCCCATCGCCACCCCTCCCCGACGTTGTGCTCCAGGACCACAGCCCAACCCCCCCACACACACACACAAATTCTGGGAAGGGCTGAGATGAGGTGGGTGAGCACTAGCACAGAGCCTTCCATAAATGTATTGGCCATAGTGGAGGCCGTTTCTCAGAAAGCTGGCCTTTTTCTTTAGATTTCTGGGGGTGTGGGTGGGGAATGGTTCCTATCTTTTTGTTGGACAGACATTTGTTGAGCGCTCTATGTGTGTCAGACACTGTACCAGGCACTGGACACCCCCCCAGAAGGAAGGACAGAGGGAACCTCTGCTCTCACAACAGTCTTCCACACCATGCCCGAATAGTGGGTTCACCAGGAAGGCCTCAAAGCAGAGCTGCAAACCAGTTTAACAAAAGCATCAGATGGGCAAGGGATGCTGGTTGCAGGGCTGCAAGGTGATCCCAATGCAGGGTTGATTCCCACCTGCCTCTTGGGGAGCAGGAGAGGGAAAGGGGAGATCACATCCCAGGTGATGGAGAACCCGGGCCCCAGACCACAATGCCTCCTAGCCACTGGTGGGGGCCTGATGGAAATGAGTCCAAGGGCACTTTAATAATAGATTCTAGCACAGCAGTGCTAGTTTGACAAGATGGGAGTAAAATAGACATAGCTGTAAGGGCATCCTACCAATTTTATGCTTGCTTCCATACTTCCGTCCCATCTATCAAAGCATCAGAAATTCCTCTGAACACCTTGTATTTAGGAGTGAAGACTCAGGACCTGGGAGCAGCCTGGTTGACCTTAATTAACACATTGAAGATGGATCATGAAACTTCACGTGTTTTCTGTTCTAAGGCTTTTGGCCAATCACGAGAATTCTTTAAAAAGATATTAGCTTGTAAGAACATGTAATAAATAACTTCAAAATGTAATTGGTATATAATTTGAAAGCGTGCCTTTAACATTTATGTAAAACGTTTTTTGTACTCGTTCCATAAAAACTTATCTGGCCACTGGGTAAAGCTAGCAATAAAACTACCAGTCCGTTAAGTGATAGTAGATCGCCATCTGGTGGCCAGGGGAGCAAAGGGAAAAATTTGTGAAAAATTCAAACTTTACTATAGTTAGAAACTGCAACACATTGGAATAAGTTGTCAGATTTCACCTGTGAAATTATCTTTTTTTAAAAATGTCTAAGGTAACCCTGGCAAGTGTTGCTTGGTGATTGAGTGTTGACCCAAGAGGTCACCAAGATTAAAGGTCAGGGCACATGCCCAGGTTGTGGGCGTGATCCTCTGCAATAAGCAACCAGTCGATATTGTGGATGTTTCTCTCTCATCAATGTATCTATCTATCTATCTATCTCTATCTCTATCTCTATCTCTATCACTATCTCTTTCTCTTTCTCAAAAGCAATAAAAACTTACTTAAAAACAAACAACCAAGATATCGGGCCCTTTTCTTTATCCCTAAGCTTTCCCAGAAGGTCATGACAAGAAAGCGCCTTGGGACATCTGCTCTGCTTTTGTCTGGAAAGGTCACATGGAGTGTCTTTTAGAATAAGCTCCTGGACAGTTTTAATGGCGGGACGCCTGGGGGCTGTTTCCATCTCCCCAGAACAGAAGCTGGGTCTTTCAGGAGCCCAGGCCCTGCCATTAGGATAACGCTTGCCCAGGTGTCACGATTCAGAGAGACTTGGGCACCTGGCTAATGGGTGAGCGAGGGAGCAACAGCCAGAACTTAGGAAGGAGGCCATGACCTTTGTCAAGGGACACAGCCGTGCCGTGGTGACTTCCCTGAGATGGAGCCTAGACAATGCCAGGCCTCCATGGTGTGATCAGCCGCCTGCCAGAGCCCATCACCAGCTGAGCCCCACGTTCGATCCAGGCCCAGGGACCGGGCCGATGTGCCCATAAAGGGTGGATGAGAGCAGAGAGCAGCCAGGAGGGGTTCCTAGAAATGCTGGTGCCCTTTAAATGCCAAGAAGTTCAAAGCCAACGGGATTGGAAATTTTCCATGTCTCTCTGTTCGTTCTTACCATCAATATAGCGAAGCCACCCTTTTCAGATGCTAACAACATCCTATTTAAGATTCCAAACCTGCTTAACCTGGTCCCAGAGGCAAGGATGGAAACCAACATCAATCCCCCCAAACAGCCCCTCTGACGGCTCCCCCTGTCACTGGGGCTCTCCTCCCACAGCAACCACCTGACCTCGGTGAAGGGGGATAGGCAGTGCCGAGGCTGGAGCACCTGTGTCAACACTGGAGAGATGTCCTGTGCCACCTTTGTCACTGCCTGCTGCCTGACTGCCTCCTGAGCCCCTCACCAGGAGCCCCCCTAGGACGTGTGTGGCAAAGCCCCCACCTTGCGAATGCACCAGAGACAAGGTTATATATAAAAAGCAGTTTAATTTTTTTTAGAAAATCATCACTCCATCTCCCCTGGCCCTGCCACTTCCCCCTGCGCCCTCTCCGTCCTCTCCCCACTCCCACAAGCAGGTGGGCCTTGCCCAGCACCAGGTCCCTGTTCCCTCTGGCCCGTTTCATTCCTCAAAGTCGGGAGCAGCAGGGGGGATGAGCAGCCCGGCTGGGCGGGTGCCCCGGCCTGGGCAGCTGGGACTCGGTCTGGGTTTGGGTGTAGGAGGTGAGGCCATGGACACCGTCCTCTCCTGAATGACTCCCACGGGCTTTGGGGAGTGGTTCCTCTGAGAGATGCCAGCTGCCGGGCACCCCCGGGAACTAGACAGTGTTAATGGAGAAGCAGAATCAAGCACCACCGTCCACGTGGCACTGGCGGTGGCTCACCCTGAAGTGGCTGTGGCTGCCCCTAGCGGGCACAGCACTTGGCCCGCCCCATCGGCCCCTGGTTTAGCGTCAACCGGGCATCTCCCCGCCGAGTCTGGTCCTCCTTCCTCTCGGCCCTCTGCAGCAGCTCTCGAGCTGTGAGCACAGACAGAGGGGGTGGGGGTGGGACGAGGGAGCCCCCAGTTCTGCACAGTCCTGCACCTCACAGTCCTGGGACCCCACCCCTCCTGACATTCACCTGGAGCCATGAAGCTCAGGCCCCAACTCTCCCACACACCTCCCAGTCCCTAGTGACATCCTGTTGGGTCCAGGATGCCAGAAAAGAGGGCCTGATGCAGCTGAGCCCATGATGGCCCCACCCCCGTGCTCCCTGGGACCCTCACTCACCGACAGCACTGAAGACCTCGGTCACCTGGTGGTTGAGTCTGGCCGAGGTCTCCATGAACAGCAAGCTCTGGCTCTCCGCAAACTCCTTGCCTTCCTGAGGAAAACAGCCACGAAACCCACAGCACTTACTTACAAAGCGTTCCCTAAGACGCTTAGCCGACACCTCTTCTCTCCACCCATCCAACCCCACACGTGGCTCAGTCACCACTTTCATTCTCCAGCTGGTGAGAGAACCAGGTGAGCCTCCTCGCAGTAAGCCCCACGCAGCAGGTGCAGCCCTGGAGCTGACTCAGTGCTGTGACTTGGTGCTCCCGGACAGGGCCTGCCCAGGACTCAGGTCACGAGGGCTGGGGGCTCACCATACAGGCCCCTGCCCACATCTCCCATGCTCTTATTCCTCCATGATGGGTGCTTTAACAGAAGAATGATCTATCCTTGTTCAGTCCCTAGCAAATTAACTTCTTCATTTGAGCCTTCTTCACAAATGTACTAGACACAAGAAAAAATTCTAAAACCCACATCTCCAGAGTGGGTGAGTGTGGGGGGAGGTGAGCGTGCATGTGAATGGGTGCTTGGGTGTGTGCAGGCCAACACGTGTGTATGTGTGAATGTGCATGTGTGTACCTGTGGGTGTACATGTGAGAATGTGTGCGTGCATATGTGTGGGTGGCTGTGCATGTGAATGGGGGGAGGGGTTCTCCATCCTCCTGGTGACATAATGGCCTGTCCCCAGTTCTACCTCAAAGGTCACCTCCCGCTCCTCACTGAGGTCCGTCTTGTTGCCGACCAGCATCACCACAACTTCTCCAGGGAGGAACTCCTGCTCCAGGTCCTTCAGCCACTGCTGAGCCTTGCAGAAGGAATCCTCACAAAGGAAAGAAGAACCTCAGACAGATCTATGGGCAGTCTTCATCAGCTATCCCGGGACAGGAACGCAGGTGTCCATGCCACATTGTATAGAACATGCTCTGGTCCTATTGACCGTATGACAGATAGCACCCCCACTCCAATCCTACCCCACCCGGCCTGTCCCATGAGGAGGACATCTGCTCCATCTCCGACCTTGGGGGCTCTGGGCCACAGGGAGCTCCTTGGGGGCTCTGGGCCACAGGGAGCTCTGGGCCACAGGGAGCTGGTTCGAGGAGGCTCAGCAGTGCCCTGCAGATCAGGTAGTGGGGCTCCTGCCTGGGCCCCACGAGGTCCCTCCCCTCCCTACAGCAGGTCCACCTGCTTCCCTTTCTGCTCGCCTGCCCACCACCTCCCTGCCCCCACCCACCCGGCAGGGCTGTCCCTGCTTCTCCCCCCACGTTCTGCTAGAACCTTCCTGCCCCCCGTGACTCCCCCAAGCCCCGCCCTTCCTGTTCCTGCTCCAGGTGTCTGCTCACTGGTATTTAGCATCTGTCCTGATGATACTCCATGTGTGGGATGTGCAGCCAGGGCTGTGCCTCCCTGTTTCTGTAACACCTGCTCCCCCTCTCCCCCACCCTCCCCGTCATCAGTGGGAGTCCTGAATGGCTGTGCAGGGTGTTCTGGGAGGACCAGCCGTGCCCTCTTAACTAATGACACCTCTAACCAATGACATTCACAAAGACCCTTTTCCCAAGTAAGGCCACACTCATAGGCCCTGGAGGCTAAGATTTGGCCAGAGCTTTTGGGAAACACAGTTCCACCCACTGCTGCAGGCAGAGGGCAGGGAGAACACGGCAGGTGCCGTGCGAAGGGTGTGGAGACAGGCTGGGCAATGTGAGCCTCACCTTGCTGGTGATGTCGTACACCAGCAGCGCTGCATTGGCGCCCCTGAAGTAGAGGTGGCAGACACTGTGGTACTTTTCCTGGCCAGCCGTGTCCCAGATCTCAAACTTCAGAGACGCAGCACCCAATTCCACCACCTTCGTGAAGAACGCACCTGGAACGGAGGCCCAGGGGCAGCTTTATCTGGAGGCTCGACCTCCACCCACCGGTCAGGCTGGGCCCGCGCGAGCCCTGGGCTCAGCGGACCATCGGGGACACGTGCTTCCTGCCGTCCACAGCCGGGAGGGCTGAGCAAACACCTCTTCTGGGAGGTGGCCGTTCCCATCAAAAGCCACGTGTCACAAAGAGCTGCTACAGACGCTTCATAGACACACGGAGGCCTCGGGCGGGGACATAGGCTCCCGGGGCCCGAACTCACAGCTCCGAGCTTTGCTGGCCAAGGTGATGTGATTTTCACATGGCTGTTGGTAGCACCAACCAGAGCGTGTGGGGTGTGTCACACACAGAACAGCACAGGGGTGGGGAGGGGCTGGAGAGGGCCCTGTTGGGAGATTGTTGAAATTAACACCTCACTGCAAGGCAGAGAGTTTGTTTCTAGGGCGGCTGTACCCAATTACCACAAACTGGGTAGCTTAAGACAGAAAAATATTATTTCCATTCTGGAGACCAGCGGTCAGAAGTCGAGGCGTCATGGGGTAGGCTCCCCCCGAAGCTCTGGGAGAGAATCCTCTCCGCGCCGTCTCCTGGCTGTGGTGGGGCCGGCCCCGTCCATGTCCCTGGGCTATGGACACATCCCATCTCTTCCTCAGGTTCACATGGCCTTCTCCATGAGTCCCTCAGTTCCAATGAGGTCCCAGTCGATGGACTCAGGGTCCACCTGCAATCCAGCACGATCTCATCTCAACACCCCTATCCAATGACATCCTCAAAGACCCTTTTCCAGATAAGACCACAGTCACAGGCACTGGAGGGTGAGATTTGGACTTGGCTTTTGGGAAGCACAATTCCACCTACTGCAGACAGAGGGTGGGTGGGGCTGGGTTGGGCTTTTAGCTCAGAGCTGGTAACATCCTGATTCTCTCAGGAGACTCCAGTTTGGGGAGACCGCCACCCAGGTCCTCTGCCGGCACGCCCCACACTTTCCTGCTTGTCCAGGAACCTGAATCAGATAAACTTCCTACGTGTATGGACCGAATGCTTGTGTCCTCGAAAAATTCCAGGTTGAAGCCGAATCCCCAGTGTGATAGTGTGAAGAGGTGGGGCCTTTGGAAGGTGATTAGAGTTAGATGAGGTCCTGAGGGTGAGGCCCCTGTGATGGGATTAGTGCCCTTGTATGGAGAGACTCCGAGAGCCCCCTCTCTCTCCTCTCCTAAGGTCCAAAAGATTTAAAAAATTCTTTCCAAAAACTGAGACTTTTTTAAAACGCCGCAGGACAAATTGTTAAAAATCAGGACTGTCCCTCCAAAAGCAGGACACCTGGTCACCTTATCCTCTCCTCCCCTCATATAGACAAAGAGAGAAGGCTCCGGTGAGTGCAGTTAGCTGGCCGCCACCTACACACCAGCAGAAGAGGCCTCAGGGAAAAACCTACCTCGCAGGCACCTTGATCTCGACTTCCAGCCCCAAAACGGCGGCTAGAGCAGACTGACTGGGTCAAACAAAGCCGTGGTCTCTGTCTCAACGTGGGGACTAATGGCTCCCCACTCACCCAGGCTCAGGGTAAGGCGGGAAATGGACACACGCAGCAGGTGCTCCGTGGGACTGCTGTCCTGAGGGTGCAGGCCGCGGACGGGCCTTGGAGGGGCTCTGTCAGCTGCACGAACGTTGTCCCCTGAGCTTCAGCCTTCTAAAGCTCAGCTCCCGTCTTCGCCATGGGCCAAGGGCGCCCTCTGCCAGGTGGCTGAGTCTGCTGAGGGCTGCTCCATGAAGCCCCCTGCCTGCCCTCTGCTCTCCCGAATGAGCCGGGAATGTCAGCCGTTTATCCACATCCTTTGTTCGTTTTCCACCACGTCAAGTCACATTTCTGAATCTGATGTTGGTTGTACCTTAAAAGGCGTCACTGCCAGGTTGCACGTGGGCACCAAAGCTCAGGGTCACCTTCTCCATTCAATAGCCAAGCTTCTGACATTTCCCCTTTTCATCTGAAAATGATGGCAGTGGCTCTGCTTCCATCAAGAGAAAGTCCCAATGAACTTTCAAGGGCTTTGGGGTTTTCCGTCCGAGTAGTGATGAGGCAGGAGCTGTTATAGAAGACAGAAACCTGTCTTCCCTGGAGAAACACTGGCCCTCAAGTGGGCCCTGGGCAAGATGGAGGCGACCTTTAACCCTCACCGCATAGACTCCTTGTCTCCAACTCGGAAAAGAGCCCTCATTTATTATCTTCATTTTCAGAAACCCACTGATACTCGCTATATTAGAGAATGAATGGACGGATGAGTGCATGAATGAATGAGTGAACTCAGAGAAACAGATGGCTTGTCCACGGCAGAGTCCAAATTTGAAACCAAAGCTCTGATTCTGGGTGAGGTGGCTCTCCACCCTGCCCGCTGCCTCCCAGAAGGACTGGGTAAAGAACATGCTGGGATTCCTTATTTCAGGTGGGGATCGGGGCTTTCACTCCAGGCAGGATGTGAAGGAGGCCAACAGCCCAGCAGACCTCATAGACCTTGACCTCTGGGAGCTCTATCCTGGAGTCTCTGTCAGAAGTGCTGTGAGAGGGTTGACCCTACTGTCCCTTCCACACACAACCCCACCCCAATCTAGGCAGAAAGGGGACTGCTCACAGGTAACCTGCCCAGGGCAGTGCTTAGCAGAGGGAGACTGAGAGGCAGAGCCTGGAGAGCTTCTTCCCAGCTCCTCCCAACCCTCACTTAGACACAATCCCCACACCCAACCACTGGGGGCCAGAGACCCTGGCCCTAAAGCTCCACCCCTGCAGACTCCCATGAGCTCTGGAGGCTGCTGTGCCTCCCCACCGGGACCTCATCTCTCCCTGCCTGGGCCCAGGATGCCCGAGGCTCTAGACAACGTCTGCCCTGTGTGCTCTGCCTGGGTCGGCGCCCTGGCTTCTTCCGTGGAGACTAAGAAAGGGTGTCAGTCACTTACATCCCACGGTGGGCAGGATGCTCTTGAAGTCGTTCTTCACGTAACGGAGAGCCAGGCTGGACTTGCCCACAGAGCCACTTCCCAGGAGGACCAGCTTGAACACGTAGGGCTGCCCCACCCCGGCCTGGGGGGGCCCACTCGCCTGCGCCATGGCCTGCGGAGACACACAACATCTGCCACCAAGTAACCTTAGCACTTTCACCCGCAGCACTGCCTCCCAGCAGAGTGCAGACAGCCTGGGATGGGTGACAGACGGAGGGACTGATGGAGCTCCAGGTCACTGCTGCGCTCTGCACCCATCTTCTCATCGAGAAAGAGGGGGACCGAGCTCAGTGGTTAGAGCATGGGCCAGCTGTGAGGAATGTCGTGAGCAGCTGTGTGTGGAAAGCATGTCGGCGGTGACTGGCAGAGACCACTGTATGAAAAGGGCTGCAGGCCACGGTGGGCCGGTCAGCATATGGGCTGATGGTCCTCATTCCACTAACCCTCCCCTTTTTTTTATTTTTATTTTTTAGTGTTTAATATTTAATAGCACAACTGACCAAGATCTGAGGTGTGAAGTTATCATGTTCAAGAAATGGGGGAGGGGGACCACTCTACCGACTAAATATATAGGATGTGATAAGAAGAATGCACGCTTTACAACATAAACCCTGTCTACACATAGCAATTAGTTGCAAAAAGCCATCTGGTCTTCTCTTGGCTTATAAAAACAATGTTCCAGATTCCAGTGTAAATTAGCAACCTTCAACTCTTTTGTGTAGCAGGTATCTTGTTTTCCCCTTCCAGTTCTTCCACGCCAGCCTGTGTCATGAGGTCTGCGATGTTTTTCTCCAGGTCATCAATGCGACTACTCATGTCATCGATTCTTCCAATGATCTGGTCGGACATGGTCTGAAATTTATCTTGCATCTGTTGCAGGAGTGTCTGCACCACGGAGGTGAGATCCTGCACGGTCTTGGGGTCAGTCTTGGCCATCTCCCCGGTTCCCAGCTTGGCGGTGATATCTCAGAAGACCGTCACCGACACTTCCGTTTATCCGAGCTGACGCCCCCAGCGGCTTCTTCCTAACCCTCCCCTTTTAAAAACCTATCCCTTTTTCCAAAAAGTGTCTGAAACTTCCATGTTTTCTAAAGCTCCCCAGTGCCTGCTGTGGAGGCTAAAAAATATATCAATACTTTTTCTCTCACCTTCTAAGTTCATCCATTTAACAGAGACAGGTTAACAGGAGAAAATCAAATTTGTTAATACATGTGCACAGGGAATTCACATAGACATGAAAACCCCAGAAAGTGAGGCAACATCAGGGATAGGAGACAGTTTTGGACAAAGGAGTAAAAAAATAGGCGATTTACAGGTAGCTGAGGAAGAGTAGAACACACACACACACACACACACACACACACACACACACACGGCAGGAGAGTCTCAGGGACACTGGTGCTCAGCGAGCAGGCCAGGAATCTTTCTGACTAGAGCGAGGGCAAAGGTTCTTAAGGTCCTGAAGACAAGGCCCCCTTCCTGAAGCCAGTTGTCTAAACCTCTTCAGGGTCAAAAGTTTTTTCTGAGTCTTTTCTTTCTTTCTTAATAAACAGCTTGAAGTCCACATCCCAAAAGGTAGCTTCAAGATGGCAAATCTTTGATTCCCTTCACTGATAAGGCTGAGAATCACTGCTGTGATTTTGTCAATTTTTGTGACAGTAGTAACAGTGCCTCTAATAACCAATGGAGAGAGCCCAGCCGGTGTGGCTCAGTAGCTGAGCTTCGACCTGTGAACCAGGAGATCATGGATCGATTCCTATGCTTGGGTTGTGGACTGGATCCCCAGTGGTGGGTGTGCAGGAGACAGCCAATCAGTGATTCCTTCTCGTCATTGATGTTTCTCTCTCTCTCTCCCTCTCCTTTCCTCTCTGAAATCAATAAAAATATATTTTATAAATAAATAGCAGAGGGAAGGGAGTGAGGAAGAAAGGGAGGGAGGGAAGGAAACACAGGGTACTGTGGAAAACAGGGAAAGGCAAATAATCCATCAAAACACCAATGTTTTTTTCTGAAACCGGTTTGGCTCAGTGGATAGAGGGTCGGGCTGCAGACTGAAAGGTCCTGGGCTCGATTCTGGTCAAGGGCATGTATCTTGGTTGCGAGTGCATCCCCGATGGGGGTGTGCAGGAGGCAGCTGATCAATGACTCTCTCTCATCGATGTTTCTAACTTTCTATCCCTCTCTCATCCTCTCTGTAAAAGATCAATAAAATATATTTTAAAAAAAAAAAAAAAAAGAAAGAAAGAAAAGAAAAGAAACACCAATGTTTTGAAATATTTGCCTGAACTGGGAAATTTCTCAGAGCCTGAGGCAGAAGAGGAGGAACTTGGGAGGGACCAGAGTCTCTGCTGAGAGTTAGCAGGGGGCAGGCTCTAGGAGCAATCTGGCCAAGACCTGGCCGCACCTGCCTGGGCTGGTTGGGGTGTTGGGGGGCTGGGCGCCCAGGACTCCTGCATCCCACAGACCCACCGGCACTCAGTGAGGGTGCTGGGGAGCATTCTGCTCTCGGAGAGCCCACCACCCATGCCGAACTCCCAGCAATTCATCCCACGGAATCTGACCCCTGGTAAGAGGAAAATGAAACCCAAAGGCAACATACACAACCTGAGAGAGCGGGAAAGCACCTGGAAAGCCAGCTGGCTTCCGGGAATGGACTTCAGAGCCCTGGGGATTCAACAAGCCAGACTCCCTTGAAGCCCACAGAGAGATAACAAGAGGTCAGAGTTCAACATCACCAGAGAGTTTCCAACAACTCTCCTTCAAACACACCTGGGTCGGCCTCTGGGGAAGGGTTGTTGATCTGCTTGCTTCTCTCTGTTGGGATTGGTACAAATCTCCCTCGGCTTGCCGCCTCCTCTCTGGCCCCGCAGCTGCCAGCCTGGCCCCAATCATGTGTCCAGTCCCCATAAATAGCAGTCAATAAAACAGACGTCATGGGCCATGGGTCCTACTCCCCTTCTCCAGTGAAATTATCTCAGTTTTAACTCTACCTTAATACAACCAGGAATAGCATTTTGCTTATTTCTTCTAGTTTTGTTTTTTTTAATGAATCATAACAACAAACAAACCAAAAAAACATAGTTTAACATATGCTTTTGCACCCTATCTTTAAAACAACTACGACATGTATCAAAGGCAGCTTTACACATTGCTACCTGTAATGCATGTTCAAAGACCATGTCACCTTCCTACAACTATTCTAATTTAATGAACCATTTTACTGGTTCATCTCTCAGTTTTGATTCTTTCCTCTGTAATGAATCAGACTCAGTGAGCATTTTAATGTATAATTTTTGTGTGATTAGGGTTGTAAGCTTTCGATAATCAGAGGTGGAAGCCCTCTGTTCAGAGAGGAAATTGAAAACTCCAGGCCTGGCCCCACCTCCAGATCTTAATCAAGGTGGGTCTTTGAAGTCTCTCACGGAGATGCTCCAGGAATGCGGATTGGTGAGAGGGCTAATAGACTCCTCCAGCACCCTGATCTGGGGCCTTTCCTTTCTTACAAGCCCTTCTCCTGTTCCCACAGAAAAAGAAAGGACTGGAAGCCTACCTAGGGGAGAGGACATTCCAGGGCGGGGCTGGCTCGCTGAGTCTCCCTTCAGGTGTCCCCTGTGTGACCCTCCCAGCAAGGAAAGAACACGGAGATTACTGTGAGGTTCCTCCGCTGCCGACTGACTGAGCACCTGGTTCCTCCTCGCTGCGAGCACTTTACCTGAAAGGCCTGTCACTGCAATTTACGTAGGAATCTCCTGCCAGGACCCCGACCTCCCTGACCCGGCTCCTACACGGCACCGTGGCCCTCAGTCCCACAGACTCCTTCCTCTCACTGTGCCCTTGTGATTATTCATGTGTGGGTACACACACACACACACACACACACTTATCCACATACAGAGACACACACACAGACACAAACACATATACACACAGAGACACACATGAATACACACACACACACACACACACTTATCCACATACAGAGACACACACAGACACAAACACATATACACACAGAGACACACATGAATACACACACACACACACACACACACACACACACACACACGCAGTCACTGCCAAGTATACAGAAGTTTAAACAATGACTCACGTGTTCCCAGGCCTGGTCACTTCCCGGGAGCTTGACGGGCCATCCCCACCGGGCCTGCGGGGCCCCTACCTGCCTCCCTCTGCCCTGGGGAAAGGTCGGCTTCCCTCACCAGGCAGCCGGCTGAGCAGTGGCCAGGGCAGCTGGGTGGGTGAAGGCCAGGCTCCAGCAGAGATGGGGCAGAAGCAGGCCAGCCCCCGCCCCCCGGCCCTTAAGACAAGCCACTTCCTTCTGCCAGGCTCTCAGGGCAAGGTCCTCTGGTCATGTGGCCACCTAGGCGGAGGCTGGACCTCCGAGCGGGCCCAGCAGCAGCACCTGGGCGGGCAGCCGGAAGTGAGCCTCCAGCAGGGGCTTGTGTCACCCGATGCTCCCAGTCCCTGAACCTCTGGGAGCCTCCTCTCAGCTCCTTCCTTGGGCTGCAGCAGCTTTGCCCACTCGGCAAAGGAGAGAAGGCAGTGAGCGCGGTCCTTCCACGAACAGCGGGAGCCAGCTCCTGGGGACCTGCGCCCGGAACCGGACGCCAGCCAGGCGGGCCGGGCTGGGTCAGGTGACAGCTCCTGGCCCGGAGCCACCTGGGGACAGGGTGCTGTGGGTCTCTAACACCACCTGCCAGCTTTGTCACCCTCCCACCTGATTGTGCTTCTCTGTGGAACCAGGATCTTGGGAGCCATTGCAGAATCCCGCCTACCCCTGTGCCCGAGCCAAAGCACCCAGGGAAGGCGCGCCCTGCCCAGGTGACACAGTGAGCTGACACCTGGGGCCTCGGGCTCAGGCTCAGGCTGAACCCAAACCACCTACTGGCCCCTCCCCACCTCAAGAGGCCCAGGGGCACCAAGGACAGTGAGCTCAGATACCCGGGGGGCTGGGCTCCTCGCTGCTGTGGTCTCAGGGGTGCCCAGCCTGCAGCCTGGGCAGCCTTTCCCTGCACCGTGCAGGGTCCTCCCACAGGCACTCAGCATGCCACTGCCCCTCTGTCCCTCACCTCCCAGGCCAGGGCACTGGGCCAAAGGCTCCCTGCGGCCACCGGGATCGAACCTCAGCACCAGAGGGAGAACCTGAGACCTTTCAATCAGAAGATCCCTTCCCTTGCAGACATGACAACGGAGAGGGAGAGGGACAGACACAGGCGTCCTGACCATCATCCCGCCCAACGTGGCACTGCGCACCAGAGCCTGTCATGGGAACTAAGCAAAAATGACGCATAAGCGATGTCCTTGCACGGTATGGTTAGCTCCCGGTACTTGGCTATCCGGACCTTAGACTTGCTCTCTGGCACTTTATCAGCGTTAACAGGGGGAGCTCCCACTGCACTACCTAATCAGGCCGCTATACAGGCAGTGTGCACTCAGCTTATTCCCCTTTGAGAGAAATGCAAAATTATGGGATTTTGGAGCCAAGAGGGCCCCTGGGGATTGGTCTGAGCACTCTCCCGGTGTCTGGAGAATCGTGGCAACACCCCCACCCACGGAGTCTTCAGACTCTGCCCAAACGTGACAGAGATGGGATCGCCTGCACCGAGGCAGCCATGCACCTGGCCCCTTTCTGGCCATCCCACACCAGTTTTGTACAACTTTCCACCCAGCTGCCTCTGGCCCCTCAGCCAGAGCCCCTCCCCTGTTGCATAAACATCTCTGAGCTTCTCAGAGCAGCTCTCAGGGCTGCGGCCCCTCGGAGCCCAGACCCAGGGCCCCCTTGCTCCTGTGAAGAGGCCCCATTGCCTCAGAGTGTGAACTAACGCGTCTCCTTTCCAGGGGGCGTGCCCGGTGGCCCCGCTCTGTGGGTATGTGGGAAGAGGGGCTCCCGTCTCCTCATCTCCTTGGGGCGTCCATGCAGAGCTCTGGTTAAGGATGGAACTCAGAGTGTGATTGTTATCTGAGCTGCAGATCTTCCAGAATGCTCTTATCTGCTGAGACTTTGCAGATAAGCAGGAATGGCTGGCCTGCCTTGCCCGAAACCTTCAAGCTTACTTATCTCGATGGAAAATTCCAGCAGGGTTATCTGAACTCCCAGTGAAATTCCTCCACTCAACAATGGGTGTGGTGCTTGGCTGCTGACCAGGCTGGGCAGAGCAGGGCAGAGCAAAGTCCAACGCCAGCGGTGACAGGACAAGCCCTCACAGAGGCCACCCCGGCTCACACATGCTCACCTGCCCAGGTAGAAGGGGAAGGGTCAGGAGGAGATGCTGACACATAAATGGAAGGAGTAGAAACCTGCCCAGAGGCCAAGAGAAGGAAAGGCTCTCTGAGCCCCAGAAGCAGAGTGAGTGGTGTGAGGCCTGGCGTGCGGCACTGCAGGACGCAGGGGACAAGGTCACCCAGCGAGGAGTCAGGGGTGGGTGGCCAGAGGGATGAGGGTGGAGAGGCCCGGGCCAATTCCATGAACACTAGACTCAACAAAAACAGAGTACCTACTGTTCAGTGAGTGCCTACTCTGTGCCAGGCACCGCATGAGTCCTTGCCTTAGAGCAGTGGTTCTCAACCTTTCTAATGCCGCGACCCTTTAATACAGTTCCTCATGTCACGGTGACCCCCAACCATAACATTATTTTGGTTGCTACTTCATAACTGTAATTTTGCTACTATTATTAATCGTAATGTATTGTAGATATCTGTGTTTTCTGATGGTCTTAGGTGACCCTGCTAGTGGTTCTCAACCTGTGGGTCAAGACCCACAGGTTGAGAACTGCTGCTATAAAGCCTAAGACTGATCTTTACATTCCGATTCATTTAGCAGTAGCAAAATTACAATTACGAAGTAGTAACGAAAATAATTTTATGGTTGGGGGTCACCACAATGTGAGGAACTGTATTAAACGGTCACGGCATTGGAAAGGTTGAGAACCACTGCCTTAGAGCATCTTTCTCACAGCCACGCCACCCTGCGGGCCACACCTGCAGGCCTTCTGCTGGCCTTCTTCAGCCCTGCCCCTCCTTGTGGGTGAGTCATTCATATCCTGAGACCAGAATTCCCTGCCCAAGGAGCCAAATCCCACTTCCAGGGCCTGGACACCTCTGCACTGGATGCACCCTCCCAACCAGACCACCAGCATGGGTGCCCAGGGGCCAAGAGGCAGGCAACAGTGGGCAGCGTGGGCAGAGATACAGGATGACTTGATAAATGAAGACACTTTACATGTCCCCAGACCAGAGACTAAACACCCTGACGTTGACACATCTGCTGACTCAGTTTAATGCAGTGTTAAGTGAGCATTTCATTAGCATGTTTGATTAAACCTAGCTCTCCACATGCACCACCCGGGCTGTCGCAGCCCGGCTATGCCTCATTTCTGGTCTCGGTGGGGTAATTGCATCCCTGCTTCATGGGCATCCCTGGTAAACAGTACACAGAGCTGAGTGTCAGCTCTTCCGTCCTGTCTGACTTCTGGTCAGGGTGCCTGGTCCATTTGCCTTCAATGTAGTCGCTGGTGTGGTTCTGCTCAAGTCTACCATCTTCTGTGCACTTTCTATCTGCTCCCACGGTCTTCATTCCTTTCGTCCCCCTTTCCTTCTCCTTTTGATTCAATGGAGTGCTTTTAGTATTTCATTCCATCTCCTTTCCTTGTTTCTCAAGCCTGTTATAGCATATCTTTCTGTTCTGAGATTTCTATTTGGTTCTTTTTTAGAATGTCTAAATCTCTCCTGAAATTCACCACTTTCTTTGCCTGTTGTATGCACCTTTCCCAATGGAATTGTCACCATTTCTGTCACAGTGTTTTACACTCCTCATCTGCTAATTCTAACAGCGGGTTAGTGTGCTGGTCTGAGTCCACAGATGGTTTTGTTGTTTGTTTGTTGACCACAGGTCATGTTTTCCTGTTTCTTTACCTATCTGGGGATTGTCCCTGTGAGCTGACCATTGTGATTTGGCAAAGGCTGGAAATACCCTCCCTTTGGCGAGAATGGACACCCCTGCTGGGCATGTGGACAGCACCAATTCCGGAGACACATGGGAATGTGTGTCTCAAGGACAGTGCGGCCTCGACCCAGCTGTGGTCCCACACTCAGCAGCCCCTGGAACCCCGAGGAAATGGCTCAGTTCTTTAGATCATCGAAGCTTTTAGCGGCACTCAATGCTGACAGTAAAAATACCCGCATGTCCGCATGTCCAGCAGGCCGGCACCAGGAACCCTTGTGAGAAATCAGAGGTGGCTGGGGGGGGGGGGGGGGGGGGGGCGGGCGGGAGAGAGGGAGATTCAGCTCCGTACCAATCAACATCTGAGGCCTGACTTTGTTGTACCTAAGATCACCTGGGCTCCAGGCTATGGGATTCCCTTTCTTTTCCTTTTTACGTGGTTCCTCAACTTCCCTGAGTTTCCTGACTGACCTCCCCAGGAAAGAGACTCTGGGACAGATCCACTCAGCACCAGCACCCACCTAGAGGGCCCACCTTCCATTCCTGGGCAGCCTTGGGTAGCGTGACGAGCAGCAGAGGCCATGTTCTCACCTAGGACGAGTGTGCGGGCAATGCAAGGGAGACTCAACCAAGATGCCACTGACACATTCAGAGGGACTAAAGAATGATGCAGACGGAGGGGAAGCCCCATCCTATGAGCAGTGGAACCACTATGCATATCAAGGTGCCAGGGCCACTGTTACCAAGTACCAAAGTCTGGGCTGCTCACAAGCGGGAGATTATCTCACAGCTCAAGATCCGGGTATGGGCAGGGTTGGCTCTTAGTGAGGCCCTGAGGGAGAATCTGTCCCAGCCTCTCCCAGCTGCATGTGAATGAGGGAATGGATGGACACACTTCCTTAGGGACTGATTTCATTTGAGTCTACTGCATTCTGATGGTTGCCCCCACAATCCACTCATCAACCACCCAGAAAAGCAAAAGCAAGTTCTTGCCCAAGACTGGAAAGCAGAAAGTTAATGATGTTCCCTACACATGTGTGCCCATACAGCACACACAAACACACACACACGCACAAACACAACACACACAGACATACCCGGGGTGTGCAGCCAGGCCTCGTCTCTTCTTTGTTCTCCGCTCCGTCGGGCACCAGCACGCCTTTGTCCCCTTATCTGGACTTGCTCCCCACAGCCCTCCCTCCTTCTGGGATCAGCCCTGGCCCATCCCTCAGCCCTGGCCCTTCCGTCGCACGCCCACTATCCTCCCCAAGGCCAGAGGCCCTCCTCCTTCTGTGGAGGGTTTTCTCCTCTCTGTCCCTGAGAGGCAGCTAGAGATTTTGGCCAACAGCTAAGGTGCTGAGCAAGGGTCCAGAGCCCCCTCTCAGCGTGACAGGACTGGAGTCCTTGGAGAGGACACAGAGATGGGTTAAGGGAGAAAATATAATTTTCCCTGACCTTTCTGAGTTCTGGGCTGAGGCCCCCGTAATAAAAGGCAGAGTAATAACAGAAAACAAACCAAAGTTTATTCATGTGTATACCTCATGGGAGACGCCAAAGGGCCATCGGTCACTCCTCAGGTAAGCCTGAGCCATACACTTAAATTCCATCTTCAGCTCAGGACAAAAGACAGAAAGAGCTCAGTTATGGGGAGGTCACAGGAAAGGCACGGGAGCGGGCAGGGCTGTTTGCAGCTCATGCGCCTCCTCCGTGGATAAGATTCCCTGCTGGAGCCGTTTCCTCTCCCTGATCCTGA